GTTCGGCATCTTGTGCTTCCTTCCTTGCGTACGGATGACAGCTGCGTATGACTTAATTTATTTTCTGGTGCTTTCACTTCTTGAGACAGTTGTAAGCACTGTGTAACTGCCTCGAGGGTGCGTGACCATTTCAACACAACGTGGTGCGATCATCCCCCTTGCGCGGAGTGAGGGTTCTTGACCCCGCACAACATGATCTACTCGACCACCATTATGGTTACCGCCAAAAAAAAAAGGAGGAAGAAAAAAAAAACGGTAACCTGGTTGCCGAGTTCACGAAGTGAATTGGCTTGTTTTACAACGTTACCAAGCGACGAAAACCCATTGGACGGAGGGGGGAGAGGAAAGTGCCCACGGGAAGAGGGCAAACAGGATACCGTTTCAAGCAAGCGCAAGGGCCTGGGAAAGCATTTGAGAAAGCCGCGTGCACCTCGTGCGGGAAGTACTCGACAGTGCCAGCGCCATCAACCGACCACGACTACGTAGCAGGCCGCAAGCAAGGGTGCACGCGCGTACCTCCTTCATTTGTCGGTTGAGCTCCAGGTCTTCCAGCCGTCCCTGCCAGCCCGTGCTTCCGTCCCTGGTGAGGTAAGTGAGGTGGGTCGGCCACTCGTCCAGCCCGTCGAAGATGTGGGTGGCGTAGATGATGGTGGCACCCCGCCCCACGCTCTCCTTGTGGAGCCAGTGCAGCAGGTCTTGTCGAACCACGACATCTGTTGAGAGCCCCCGCCCGCGCAGACAGAAATACCAAGCGTGCAGCAGGCCGTGAGCACGCGCAAACCAATGCACACAAGGAAAAATACGACACATACCAAGTCGGTCTTGCAGAAGGTAGTACTCGGGGGAAGGTAGCGACTTGACGGGGAGGCGAGGCTAGCCTTCACCGCGTTCCTTGGCACCACAAACATATGAGAGAAACAGTTGACGAGTGTTACTATGGTAAGATTTTTATGGCTTCTTGTTTCTGGTCTCCAGAACGAACGCGCTGAAAAAAGCACAGAACAGAAATACGAAGAGGAGAGTTCTCGCTACATAACAGCAGCAGTCGATTACCTGTCTCGCTCGCACAGCGAAAAACGAAAAACCAACCACCAAACCATGGAACAACACACGGCAAACGAAAGCAAGCCACACTGAGGGCCAATCGACACGTACATAAAACGTCTCGTCCAGCAAGGAAAACATGGACGTGAAGTTCGGACCCGGATACAAGAAACAGTGCCAAGACTAAAGCTTTTCGATTGTATCCGGAAAAAATAGAAACAAAAAATCAAGCAAGGGAGATATGACAGGCTCAGCGCATCGATAGACATGGTTGGAACAGCTTTGGGGTCAAACGAAAGAGATGCGGGGGCGGAGAGATGAAGCCACACGTGAGATAACTACGGATATTAGCGTCGTTTGTTGCTGCGAACTTGACCAACTATTCTCAACCTTCGCGACGACAACTATAAATTTCCCGTCAGCTTCAGGGGGAATTTCCGTTTAAAACGGGGGCAATCAAGACCGACCGCTTCCTTGCGCGTACCTAAGCTTGTGGTGACCTCATCAAGCAAGAGGAGCTTGAACGGCTTCACCAGGCCGAGCAGGAGCTGGACCCTCCTCCTCTGTCCGTCAGAAACCTGCTATTCCAAAAGAAACGACGTGGTGGCGGGGAAACAATCGCAATGTTCTTCAAAAGGAAACATCATGGTGGAGAGGTAACGCACTAGACAGTACGAGCTTTTCCGTCAACGTACCCATGGGTCACCGGGTCTCGGCTTGTCAACATGCTGGCAAGGTCGACGGTAAATATTTGACTCAAATGACGTATCGACAGCTGTAAGACCCTTCGCGCAGATGGCCCTGGGCTAGGCTTCTTCCAGGAGCTGGTGTGAGAAGGAAGAAACAAAGAACCAGCGCAGCAGTGACGAAAGCACAAAAAAACGAACAGAGAGAAACACACCAACAATTTGAGAACTTAGTAACGCATCAACGTACGCACACAGAACGGCAGCACATGAACGTGTCAACATGTAAAATCACGCAAGCCTCATGTGTCTTGCTTGCCTGGTGCATTCTCCAGTTCGGGTCGACGCCGAGCATGTTGAGCAACTCCTCTCTCCGCTCCGGGTACCGCTCCTGGTCCTTCTTCATCATGTCACCTACGGCAATGTCCGCTTGGAGGGGAACCCCATGTCCTGCCGAAAAAAAAGACATTCCACAAGATCAACATGATATGAATTTCACTGAGTGGGAATCTTGTTGTTGGTCAGTAGTGGTGTGGCAGTGATCGAAGTCAACAAACATGATTTACGCGCCGGTTGAGCGTTGTAGCACAATTCGCTAGTTGATCGGCAGGTTAGCATTGATTCCGTTCCCACCTCAAACTGTCCCCCGCATGTTACTGCCATGTTTGGCCTGACCTAACCTGTCTTGTTCATCAACCAATCAGTATGAAACCAAGACCTTGTCATGGGAGGAATATTCTACAATAAAAAACAATATCCGTGGTGCAACGACTCGTGCGTGAGTATCGAATGTCCGGTTCCGACTTAGGGCCGGTTTTGCTCTCAGTCATCAATCAATACCAAAGGGTCAAGAACATAATCGTTTAGTTGGTTGTGTCGCACGCAGACCCGTGGGAAACGCAACAGCAACGTGCTACAGGAGTCCCTCTCTGATAAAACAATTCCAGATTCTGGGAAGTAACGACCACTTTTCACACGTGAACAAGAAATCAAACCTTATTCTGGCGGACTACTCACAAGGCCTATTCTACAACACACGGTACGCACATGAGCGACAAAATACGCAGAAACGTGCTGTACGTCCTCCACTGTCGCCACCCAACATAACCGTTCTCTCACCCGCGAAGGAGATGGTGCGCATGCCCCAGTCCATGGACAAGAAGGACCTGTGCTTGTTGAGGGTAGTATCCCGGAACGCGTGCCTGTGGAGCAGATCGCAACCCAAGCGGGAAAATCGTGACCACGGTCGGATAAAGATACCCAGCGGGGATATGTCTCACCGACCACAAGAGTGGAGCACACCAGTCATGAAGTGCCTACCACTCAGGGCTAGCATAAGCTCCTCCCACCAATGAGGAAACGTGAAAGGGCAGCCGTGAACGGCGTCCAATCGGAGACTCACGCCAGGACAATGTGCAGCGTGGGCTTCATACATTCACGGAGTATCCGCCTGAAATAGAGCACGTTGAATCCGCCGAGGGCGAAGACTTTCTCCGACCGATTCTTCACACAACAAACGCAACGGAAACACGCGTGGTCTACATATAGACTGGAGAAAAGGGGTTGGCCCGGTCCGATGACGATCGCTGGAATGATAGGTTCGTTCCCTGATACCTTTTGCACACAAGCCATCGCAAAGCTAACACATGCTAGAATGAAGCTTTACTGTGGAAACCAATACGTATAGCATTTGTTTTCCATTTCGATCGCTGGGATGGGAGGTTTGTTTATCGACGACCTCTGCCAACAGATAATGATGTACTAACACATGCCAAAATTAAGTTTTGATGTGAAAACATTTTGTAGCAATCTTGGTTTGCTCACTTGTCAAGTACAATCACCGCGTCGTCGGGCTTGGTGATATGCCTCCCCGCCAGCAAGCGCAGGAGCGTGCTCTTGCCCGCGCCGTTTTGTCCGATCAGAAGACACCTGTAACAGGATCCAACGGTTCGATTTGACCGCGTCATCAGTCAGACCGCACGGAAGTCTCTTCCAGGGTGGGTGTTTGGGTATCCTTTGTCCAGTCGTGCATAAGAGAGAAACGCTCGCGGCAAAACCAAATGTAAACTTCCAATAAATGACAAGAGCAGAATTACTCTCAGGATAACTGCCGCACATTGGATGGATGAGAACTCATGGAAGGCCTGATCTGACCGTGCGCTTTATTTTTAGCGGTTAGTGGCAAACCGTGGCTACAAACGCTTCCACGGGCGGCATATCACGATAACGACACCCACGTAGCATGTTCTCCGCAGCGACAACCACCTAGTCTGTAGCGGCATCATCATCACCAACGCCAGCAAAAGAATCCGTCCTATGTATACCTGCTTCCTGTAGGCAGGTTAAGGTCGAACTGCTTCAGCACCGGCTTGTCCATGCCGTCATACGTAAAGTCTAGCTTGGTCACCACCACCGCTGAACCGGCGGTGTCTGGTGTGGATCCACTCGCGCCTTAAAAAACGAGCGTGAAGGGAAAGGGTAAGACGACAATGTACCGTACGTGGTTGAAGCAGCGTCCCTGCAAAAAGGCCATCGGTACCTGCCGTCTACTCGCGTTTTCGTCAGTGCTTGAAGGACAGGTTGCCATCGCATTTCGCTTGATGTCAGAACCGCAATGATTGTGAAACATGCATGTCCCTTGGCGCCATGGATCCAAAGGCGAACGACTCGCGTCGCCTGTTGCAAAGTAACTACAGCAGGGCGGGTGTGTGCTTGCCTTTTTGGGCTACTGGCTGTCACAGTACTTTGCGACGACCCTTGCAAAAGAGGAGTAACAATGGCGGCCTTGCACTTGCCCGTAAAGTGCGTGAGTGCTGTCTGCGTCAGCCCGTCTGTCCTATACATGAGTACGTCTCGATACCACTGGAGCCTCACTACCGAGGAAGTTTCTGCTGCGTGACCGATAAGGCCACCATTTCCTGACAAGGCACGCACTCTCAGGGCCTGCAGTGTGGAGCTCTTCCGTACCCGTGTGCATGCGATGAGATGCACAGTGATATTTTGAGAAATACCCAAAACCTTACTCTGTCTCACGAACAGGGACAGGGTACTACTAGGCTGCCACGTGGTAGGATTTAGTATTCGGTCGTGCCGGCGGCGGAGCTCAATCTGGGCGTGGGTATCTCGTTTTTCGTGCAATCATGTTTTGATTAGTAAGGCTGCACATCCGGCTGTGCGTTGTTCTGCTCAAAGTGTGGTGTTGCCGAAATGCTGCCTCGCGCCGATCGGCACTCCAGAGACATCGCTGATTCAACACCCAGGTCCATTCGAATAGCTGGCCCTCCCTCCTACGCGTAGTGGCTGGGCAGCCCGTGGCAAGCGGGTGTTTGGCAGTTGATGTATCGCGATGTCCTACACGATAAACATATAGTCTACGCGTGTTTCGCGACACTGCTGTGCACCCCCGACCGCACAGGTAAGCCGCGATATGGGATCACTCACCATTGGCAGCCATGATGATTCTGGCAAGACGTTAGTAGTTGCTGTCCTTCCGTTCGTTGGTCGGTACCCTTCTTCACTGTTCACGCTGGACGAGGGCCGTCTGCGGTGGTGTTCATTGTGTGCCTGCCGTACGACAGAAACGCAGGCCCGCATCGAGTCAGAAAAAGCGGTGAAACTCGGTTCCCGACACATGACGAAAAGGAACACACACCGCGCGCGGAACCGCGGAACCGACGCGTGAGGGGCTGTGGCGCGGTGGGCGGCACGCGGGGGTTCCCTACTCCCCTCTCCTCTGTCTCTGACACGGCCGGGGCTGGCCTATGTCGTTGTGTCGTTGAGGAAGGGAGGAGAACAGTTGATTAAACCCACGAAGCAATATCTGCCTTTCGTGGGGACAGCAGCAAGGCCGATCGCTGTGCTGTGAGTTTGATCAGGATTGGCAGGGGCAAGGGAGCCAAAGCAAACGGGGGTGGCAGCACACCAACGGGGGCGGCAGCAGGACGAAGGGCGGACCCTCACCACCATGCACGGATCCATCACTACTATACAGTGCGGCCTCCTTGTTCTGGTTCTTCTCTCCTCATCTTTGTGGCCTAGCCACGGCGCCCATGCTTTCGTCTCCACTCCGTTGGCTGGTGTAGCCGCTGTCTCCCGTCAGGCTCACACAGCCTTGAGCTTGACTCCGTCTCCTTCCGCCATCACGATGGTCCAGCCCTGCCGCTGGACGCCAGCTGCGTTATCACGGTCGCGTCTTGAGGTAGGTCTTCCTTATCGTCCGAAGAAAACAAAGACCTTCTCCTCGGGTGGTTTCGTTTGTTGTCGTGCGTGGTGATAGCACGCATGTATAACGCTGCGATGCGCATGTTCTCCTTGCCGTTGTTCCGCAGCAGCAGACTCAATACCACGTGCCGTGTGTGAACGTAGACAATTAGCAGTGGTGCCCGCGAGCTGCACTTCGACTCTGTAGCAGTTTGAGGGCGGGGAGAGGGGGGCTGGATGGCTCAATTGTTGTTTGTTGTCTTACATTTAAAAACGCTCCGTTCTCTCTGCTACGAGTACCTTCCTCTGTGGGTCTCGTTTTGTCTCCAATAAGACGCATGTTTATGGTCTCGAAATCTTGGAAATTAAAATGTATCTTCAAATGCTGTCAAACATTTGCGCGCAAATGTCTGCCAGAGGACCATTTGAGTGTCGTTTTTATGCACAAAAGTATCTTATCGTGTGGTTTGCTCGGAATGCATCAACAGTGCGGCGGGAATCGTGGTCTATTTCTACCGAACGACTTGTGACAAACCACAAAGGCCTCATGGAAACTGAATGTAACAAGCTCGCAAAGGGCTCCCCACAACCCTTGATGCACTGAGCTGATGCTGTGCCCGCCAATACGTGACGATAGTCCGGGCGTGCGAGAAAAAACTGTTCTCGGTGTCAAAAAGGGACCAAAACGTGCCTCAGCGCTGCCCAACGGCAAAAAGTCGGCCGCTTGAGAGGAGACGTGAGTTCGAAACTATCCCGCTATGCCGCCGGTCGCCCCGGTGGTCTAGTTGGTAACCTCGAAACCTGCTAGAGGTCAGGTCAGGGGTTCGAATCCCGGCGAAAGCGAGCTTTTCTTGCAAAGTGAGTTTTTCTCTCGCTTCCGTTCCTGGCCTAGTGGATAGCGCTAGTTCGTGTGTACACAGAGGAAAGAGAGTGTGCTGAACTCTTCTCGCATCAAAAATCGAAGGCAAAGTACCGCAGGAGGGGAGGGTAGAGAGGGGCTCTTCTGTGTGACCACGGGTTGGAGTAAACGGCACTAATGCCGTGAGCGCTGATTGGAAGTGAAGAAAAAGAAAAGAAAGAAAAAAGAAAAGAAAGCTCTCGCCTGTTAGCCCACCGATTCATGTTTTGTCTTCTTCGGTGTCTTCTCCATCAACGAGTCTCATCCGGTTGCGAGTGGGTTGGCAGTGGCCGTGCTCAGTCGGCAGGGAGGCACATCATTGTGCTCACAAAGTTGTGGACACAATGTTTTTTCCAGTCTTTTTAATTCACTTGAATATAGAGAGTTTGTTCCTCCGTCCCAAAAAAGACTTTTTCAACACATCGAACTCACAGCGACGCGCCTCCCTGCCCGTTGAGTACGTCCGCCTTTGAATCACGCAGACCCGGATGAGAGCCGTTGATGGAGAAGACACCCAAGAAGGAAAAACATGAATCGATGGTGTAGAGGACGAGAGCTGGATAGTTTTGTACTCACGTCTCCTCTCAAGCAGCCGACATTTTGCCGTTCGGAGACACAAACCACGTTTTCTCCGTGCCCTTCAAACCACCTCTGTCTGTTTTTTTTGTGTGCACGCTTGACGAGCTCCCGCCATGTATCAGCCGGCAAAACGGTGACACGGTGACTCTAGGGGTTGCTACGTTGAGTATGCGCTGCGCAGTGGTTGGTGTTTAGGACGGAAGGGGCGGTCGGCTACTAATCTCGCCGCTCTTGGAAAAGATTTTCGCGACCTGCCCCATTTCAAATGTTTGTCGAACATTTTGGCGAACGAGCGACTTTTGCCCCATTTGAAATCTTGTGAAGATTTTGCCAAAGATTTTCTCCCATGAAAAGTGAAACAAAATCTTGTTCCGCATATGTTTGAAAATTTCGACATTTTCGCAAGGATTTGGCGAATATCAACATGGGTTTAATAGACTGCTGTTGGAATCGTCTTCCTTCTTAATGTTGCCCTTGATGTGGTGGTTCGGAGCCCTCGCTCACCCAGGGATTTCCCGCAATTTTGACAATGTGGGCTAGCGTAAGCCACATGAGCTGGCTGTCCCCTAACAAAGGCATCGCGTTGTGCGGTTTCGCGTTTGGTACGCGCGGAAAAGGAGCGGTCACTTACAACCGGCAACCCAGTTGGTGGTGCCGTAAAAAAAACTCGGAAATGCCCATCCACGGGGTAAGTGCAGGCTCGAGGTTTGTTGAGCTCTCCCCTGAAAAACTGCATTGCACCCGGGCGAATCGCATCCTTTTTCAAGAAGACGACTATCGGCGAGGTACCACCTTCTCCATGAAAAGCCTGCTCCTATGACATTGAAGCAACGCCCCCGCCGCACAAGCAAGTTTGGTCTCCAACAACTCGGCCGTGCAAAGAAAGCGGTTTAGCCTGATAACATGTGACGTCTTTTTGTGTTGCTGGCAAAACCCTCAGAATCAGCAGGCAGTCATCGAGACCAGCACCACCGCCGTACAGCGTAGTGCCAGCGGTGAAGACTGCCAAGGAGCCACCCGACACCAAGGTGGAACCGGAGTATCGCCCAAGAAACGAGCTCGACGCATCACGAAGGGCATCGCCATGCTCGCACGTCGAGGCCCGTTCAGAGAAAGCATGTCCAACGCAGGTGCTTCGGAAGGCTTGCCCAAGATGGGAGATCGAAGCGCGTGCGGAGACGACGGCGGCGAGGGGACCAGAGATCGTGCCCTCCTGCTGTTGCCGCGTCTTGCACGGTGGGCCCTTCTGCCATCCTTGGCGTTGGCCGGTTTTGCTCCGGCGGCGGCGGCGGCTGCTGCAGCGGCGGGAGTTGGGACAACGGGCGCGGCGACTGCTTTGTCTACCCTGCTCACCAACCGTTGGTATGTGGTCGGCGGTCGGGAACTCATATGCCAGGCGCATTACTGACGAGTTTGTTACCCTGTAGGGGTCCGCCTGCTCCTCGACGCTGAAGGGTCAGTAACACTTCTCGGAAAATATTACTTCGTATGAGTGTCATCAGCGGTAGCGACAAGTTCTTGAGAACACGCGGCATCGTTTTGGGCGAATGGGCGTTGAAACGATTTACGGGCTTAAGGTGCCCGATGGAAGATTTTGGGCGGTGTGGATTGGGGGCAGGGTAGTGCAACACACCCCGGTATCGGGATTACTATTTAGTTAGCTGCGCAACGGTTGTCGTGATGATGAGAGTTCGTATACAATGGTACTACCTAATCGTCCGCCGCCGCCGCCGCCGCCGCCGCCGCCGCTGCCGCAGGTACGTGTGGGCGGTGCTCATGGCCTCTTCCAGCGCGGGGCTGTGGTCTGAGCGCACCCGCTGGGGAGCGGCCGTGAGCTCACCCCTGGTGACCATGCTGCTCACGATTACCCTCTGCAACGTCGGCATCATACCCGCGGCCTCCCCCGCATACGACACCGTGAACCAGGTGGGGATATTTTTTTGAGGCATGGGCTGTTGCGTCGTGGTCGTGTCATGGCTCTTGCTGAGCGTTTTGACTAGAACTTTTCCGCTGAAATCGTGCGGTGTCTTCGTTTGGTGCGGGATTCTTGTCAAGTAACTGCGGCTGAAATGCGTCGGCCTTGGTTTATTTCCGGCGCGCTTGTTGGCGCGCGATGTTGGGGAGCCTTGCTTCTCCCCAGCAGTGGTGCCCCAACCTCTTGTCCCATGGACTCTGCGAACTTGTTGTTGTTCGATGGAAGTTTTCCTGGTGCACCAGTTACTGTTGATGGTGTTGTGTTGGTGTTTACTTCTATGCCGTTGTTGCTTTTCCAACAACCTGACCATGTAGGCATCCCCTCAATTCAATGCCGGCTTCGTCTACGCACGTGCTTTTGCAAATTCCAGGTGTTCGTGCCGCTGGCCGTGCCTCTCTTGCTGTTCGACGCCGACCTCCAGAAAGTCCTTAGGTGACGTGGTGGTGGTCGTCGCTCGGCTTGCAGTTTGAACAGTAGTCGGCTAGTGGTGATCAGATGGTGGTTGCTGAAATGTTATTTTCGTCCCCACACATGCGCTCAGCTTTTTTGTGGAAACGATGGTGCGCGCACCGTGACACCATGCTTTGATTTTCCACTCTGCCTCAGGGCCGCCTCTTCCGCGCAGCAGCATGGAGGAATTTGTTGCTGAAGGCATGTCAGAATGTTTTTTACGTTTGGGGATGCGGAGACATGGACATCAACGTGATTGTTCATGAGGCGAACACCCCTTTTTACGTCTGGCTAGGTTAGGTTTTATTCCTCTCTCTTTCACCCGCAAAATGCTTCTTTGCCAAAGAGTTCAAGTATGCTGCTTCGTAAACTCCGGAACACATTGTGGGGAATACCGACCCTCGCAACGAATACCTATATTGGGGAGCTGAAGTCCGATCCATCGAATCGCTTGAATCCCCCCCCCCCCCCCCCCCCCGCC